ATGATGATGAAAGATGAATTGGGAACACACTGTTGAGATTCATGGGATGAGATTAGACGAAGAAGAAGAAAAAGTGTGGGGCTAACAAACGATTAAAGAAGAGAGCATAGCATGTGTGTAAAAATGTATGTAGTGTTACACGCCTTTTCTATCCGGTCCAAAGCAAAACCTAGGGACCAGTTTTTTATTCTTATGGAGTTATGGTACTCTTCTTGTTTTTGATTCTCTATTGTTTTGGCAATGCAAAGAAAAAGTGTAAAAGAAATCTGAATCATTTCTTACTAGATTTGAAAAAATGAGTTTTAGGTCCCAATTGGTTTCTTTGCATTCACGTTTGTGTTTCTTTGATTATAATAATATAACAGAGTAACGCAAACAAACAATCAGAACCTAGTTGTTAATACATTTTCCAGTTCTTATTTAAAACTCAATCCCATCTAAATTCTTAGCAAAAAAATATATTCGTTTTAGACCCAGAGTTTGAAGATATTAAAGTAGACAAAGTTAGCAATTATTTTTTTCAATTGAAAACTATATCTATGTGGAAAGAGAGAGATTGGAATTACTTTTTGATAGTATTTTATCGTTATGTTTATACATTTTGACGAGAGAGACATTTATACACGAAGGAACATATTAAATAAGAAGAAAATATATAACCTATATAATTATCTAGCTAAGTTTACATACTCATAAATCAGTCAAAGCCATTGTACATTTTTTTTATAGTAGTATTTTACAGACTTTTCGTGTATGAACACTTTTTTATATATATGGCAATTCATTGCTTGATTCTTCTTCAATCGTAAGTGGTTTCTTCATTTCCATTGATTTTTTGAAAAGATATTAAATTTGTAAAGCAAATTAGCATGTGCTACTTGTGAGTTATGGATACTCGACCATACCAGAAAAGTTTCGGTCCAATTCTTTAAACTAATTGAATAAACTATTTGTGGGTTTTTCCTTATTATTATTAACATTGTTGGAGGAGAAAATTTAACTCAAATTTCCTTTCATTAACTTTCTTTTCATTATACATCATAATAAAAAAAATCTCTTTTCATTATATGATACGAAATCATTTCGTATTGTAAGGACAAAAACTGTAAAGCTACTCACGTATATTATTAGTAGAAAGATCATCAAATGGATCTATAAATAGCTTTATTCTATTGTTCAGATGAAACGAATATCATGGGAAATTGACACTAGTCGTCTCGATATCGAAAAGATGTGGGATCGATGCATCTTATTATACTGTACGTTAATTAATTATGTGGGATGCATCTATTAATATCTTTGTCTGTCAC